GTCAATGGTCAGTCAGTTGGCTTTTACCCTTAAATCTAACTAAGCGTTGTGTCCTTCACCTCGGGAAGACAAATCCGCGATTTACATACAAGATCTCTGACCACCACATCGAAGCGGTTTCCAGCCACACTGATCTGGGCGTTGTAGTCAACGATCGTCTTTCCTGGTCAGAGCATATTCACCACGTTACATCAAAAGCCAAGAAACTTCTTTACATGCTGGAGAGGTCTTTCAAAGGATCCGATGTCAACACTTGCGCCTACATTTACAAGGCATTCGTGAGGCCAATTCTTGGATTCGCTGGCCCGGTATGGGACACTGTGCCTCTGTGCGATAGAAATCTCGTCGAATCAGTACAGCGTCGGGCTACTCGTATCCCTTTTGGAGCACGAAGACCAAGCTATGAAGATCGCCTTGAATTATTAAACCTGACCTCATTCTCTGAGCGAAGACTACGTGGCGATCTTATAGTTACGTTCAGGATACTTCATGGTTTGATGGGCACCAACCTCATGCATCTATGCCGTCTGTCGCGCAGCAATCTACGCGGACACAGCTTCAAACTGCATAAGGAGCCATTTAAAACAACAGTCCGACAGTGGCTTCTTCCCAACCGCATATTCAACACCTGGTATAGTTTACCTGAAAGTGTGGTTGGTGCTACTTCAGTTAATAGCTTCAAAGTGCAGTATGATAGCTGGAGGAGTGTACAAACTTTATAGCTATGAACTGTTTTTTTTTTATTTTTTTCTATTTGATGTATTTGTGTTACGTGTCCGTACACTATATTTACTGCATGAGCTTATAGTACTGTGTACTCTGCTCATCTCAATTATCGTAGTAATAGTAATAGTAATAGTAAGAAAAGGAAGCAAAAAAAACATATTTCACTCAGGTGAGTAACATATCATAAATTATCCAAGCTACTCCCTGAATGCTGTTCAAACTGTCAGTATGTATGTCACAATAATTTGATATTGGATTGAAAGTCTCACACATCACATATATGGGTGCCTTCAAAAACAAATTTGTGCGAGCCCTGTCGCAATAATATGTTTTAGCTGTACGAGTTTAAATAGATGGAACATTAAAGTTTATTTGAGCCACAATCTCATTAGCATCAATTCGATTGTGCAATAGTTTATGCAAGAACATAATTGGTGCACACTTCCTTCTCAGTTCTAAAGACTGCACTTGAAACCTAGACAATAACAAACTTTCAGATATACCACGTTCAGGATATATACCGTCAACTTTAAAAGATAAAAATTTTAGAAACTTTCTCTGAACATGCTCAAGAGAGTCAATGTAGCAGTTGTAAATTGGGTTCCAAATTAACGATGCATATTCCAATTTCGATCTAAAATATGCTGAATACAAAACCAACAGTGACTGTGGGCGGCTAAAGCTTCTACAGTTTCTCGCGAAGCTTCACCCACCTTTTGAGCTATGTGGAGTGAAACATTAAGTTTATGGTCAAAAACTACACCCAAATCCTTAATTGAGTTATAACGATTTATGTAAGCATCCCCAATTTTATAATTAAATTTACAAGCAGAAGTTTTCCTGGAAAAGCTGACTGCACTACACTTAGAGGCATTAAGAAATACATTATTCTCGTCACACCAAGCCAGTAGGGAATCAATATCTCGCTGAAGTGCAATACAAACAGTCTCAGACTCAATAATCCTGAATAGTTTTGAATCATCCGCAAAGAGCAGCTTTTTACAACTTAAATAATGCACAACATCATCAATAAATAAGGTAAACAATAAAGGACCAAGATTTGAACCCTGAGGCACTCTCGATTTAGTTTAATACTGGTACGACTTCAACCCATTAAAAGTAACATATTGCTTCCTTTCATGAAGATAACTTTATAAGAGTGGTAAAGCTGATGAATGGAATCCATAATAAAAAAGTTTATTCAAAGGTATGCCATGGTCCACCATATCGAACGCTTCAGCAGAATCGGTATATACTAAATCTAGTTGACCTTGCCGATCGACACACTCAATAGCGAACTGAGTGAAGATTATTAAATTAGTTACTGTGGATCTCTTAGTAAGAAAACCATGCTGAAAAGAGGACAGAGATCTATGAACTGCGGAGAAAATTCTATTATGCAATATTATCTAAAGCAATTTGGAGAAATTCGACAATATTGCTACCGCTCTATAGTTTTTAATATCAGTATTATCCCCTGATTTGAAAATAGGTGTAGCTCTAGAAAGTTTCCAAATATCAGGGAATGTGTCGGTTTCTATAGTCAGATTGTATATTTTTAATAAGGGCTTAACAAAGACATGAATACAATCTTTGACTATACTGGACAACAAATTTTAGTTTTTTAATTGTATCTTGTGGGAAAAGTGCACTTCTTTGTTAATTTTGGGGCGCTGAATCCAAAAATGACAATGAAATAAAAAAATTAGTTGCGGTTTAGAAAAAAATCTTTTTATTTTTAAGGATATATTAAAAAAAGTAACAAGATTCGTATACTTATAAGAATCACTATATGCGCTGTCTTTTTGCTGTTCTTTTATGGATCGTTTCTGGAGCATCTCTACCAAGAGTCCAACAGTAGTCTGCAAGCATGGAAGGATTCCACTTTCCCTGGTACCTTTTTTCCATTGTTGAAATATCCTGATGAAAACGTTCGCCGTGCTCATCACTTACGGCTCCGCAATTGTCAGGAAAAAAGTCCAGGTGTGAGTGTAGGAAATGTATCTTAAGAGACATATTACAGCCCATCTTTTGATACGATGACAGCATATTTTTGACAAGGGTTTTATAGTTGTCAGCTTTTCTATTTCCCAAGAAATTAGTGACCACCAGACGGAAATCATTCCAAGCAGTTTTTTCAATACCTGTGTATCTTTCAAAATATTTCGAATCTGTAGCCCAACAAAAATACCTTCTTTAACCTTTGCCTCAGTCTTGGAAATTTCTGACGCAGGTATTGAAAAGCTGACCCATCTCTATCTAATGCCTTGACAAAGTTTTTCATTAGGCCCAACTTGATATGCAGTGGTGGTAATAAAATGTTTTTCGAATCTACTAATGGCATATGCTGTACATTTTTTTGACCTGGCTCTAGGAATTGACGAACATGCCAGTTTTGTCTGGTGTAATGAAGTGCCTTTGCCCGACTGTCCCATTCACACAAAAAACAGCAAAACTTTGTGTAACCTAGCTGCAGCCCAAGTAAAAGTGCAACAACTTTCAAATCGCCACAAATATGCCATTGGTGCTCATCGTATTTTATGCATGTCAATAGGTACTTCATATTGTCATATGATTCTTTCATGTGAACTGCATACCCTACAGGAAGAGATGGTAAAATATTTCCAATATGCAATAACACTGCCTTTAAACTCAATGTTGAACTGTCTATAAACAATCTCCATTCTTCTGGGTTACAGTTTATATTTAAAGCCGCCAGTAAGCCGTTAATGTTACTGCAGAAAACCAAGTTATTCTCCATATTGAAAAATGGTTCTAAGTCTTTGTGGCGTTTACGAAAAACACATACCGAAACATCGTCTTCTAACAAGTTCCACTGCTGCAGTCTTGATCCAAGTAACTCTGCCTTACATTTTGGAAGTTCTAAATCTCTTACAAGATCATTTAATTCTGACTGTGTTATTTTGTGCGGTTGGTGGCATGACGTGCTCGGTATAAAATCAGGATCTCTTGACGTTGATGGCATATCTTCTTCCTGACGAATCACTCGACGGCCATGATCTGATTCGTTTTCCGATTCGCAAGTGTAGGATTCTGGGGGTTTTGGAATAGGATTTTCGTCACTGTGAGGCACAGATCTCATCGCAGATGGTATGTTTGGGTAGTTAATAAACGATTTTTTTTTCTTGGACATACCTGTGGCTTGTCCAACACAAGGTGCCATGCAAAAGTAACAATCATTAATATGATTTGTAGGCTCTCTCCAAACCGTTGGGTCAGCAAAGCGCATAGACCGTTTTTTGCCATTTAACCAGCTCCTCAGACTTGAAGCACATGTATTACAGCAGATGTGGGGTGCCCACTGTTTGTCTTGATCACCTAGTTTACAACCGAAATAAAGCTGATATGCCTGTGTTATTAGTGGAGTAATAGACCGTTTCTGAGACGCAAAAGTCACATCACCACACACGTAACAAAACTGATCTGGATTGTTTACACACTTTCGAGACATCTTGCATGAACGCTGTCAGCCAACTGAGGAAAAAATGGCTAATATAAAACAATATAATGTACACGTATGTATACCGTACACAATCATGCCGATTTCATCATCTTTCCTTGCCGAATATAAAAATGTAGCACGTGCATTCTTGTGAATTACAGTATATTAACACTGTCACAGCAGGAACACATATAATTACCGTATCTCTAAAACTTGAACTAATATTGAAAAAATAAGTTTCATTCCGGTTTTAGCACATTAAAAATAGTAATATTTTGATGATTTTATTTAGGATATTTTTTGGCTGTTGATCAGTGATGAACGAGGGGATGTTGTCTGGGCCGGCCGTTACTCTATTTTTTTTTTTAGATGCAGCAATAATCTCATTTTCATGAATGTTATTGAATAATATGTTAACCTGACTAGCAGGATTCCTGCCTTCAACAAAATCATTAGTAGATGGATCAACAAAAACACTATTAAAAAATGCATTGACAGCACAGTAAGGATCGTTCAGTGAGACGTCATTCAACTTCATTTTCCCAGGAATCCTAGTAGTTCGAATTTTTGTATGCACGAAGCTCCAAAAATGTTTAGGATCTTGAGAGATGGACATCTCAACATTACGGGTATAATTTTTATAGGCCACAGATATTTGACGCTTTACCTCAGATCTAAGACGTTTGTACTGTTCATGTAGACGGTTCTTCAATGAACCCTACCAGAGTGACAGTTGACGCATTCCGGCATGAAGGATAGCGCCTTGCTACAGATGATGCTGTCAAACGGGCTAAAATCCTCTATATTTTGCAGATTCTCGGGTGCATATCTTCCGTCCAGGCAAATGTACAACGAATGCGTGTCCCGGGGAGGATATGGCTTGCAGCCCGTTCCCGAACAACACTTACATCTGTCTGTGTACCCACGATTCGTTCCCACCCTCTGCGAATGGAACTTGCAGAAGGAATGTCGGTAAGTTTTATTGTTTAACAATGTTTTATTTATTCAGGGTGTTTCGGTTTATTGTTGCATAACTTTAAGATTCGATAGAACTTTTAAAATTAATGCATAAAGTCTATATAAACATGGGTCGAAAAATGCGTGGCTGCCGAAATACAGGGTGTTTAAATTTACTTTCTAAAATAGTTTTTTTTTAAATATTTCGAACAATATTTGATGTATAACAGTGAAAATTGGTGTACAAGGGTTTTTTGGTACGACAAAACGAACAATGGGCATAGTTTTAATGTAGCCGCTAGAGGGCGCTCTCTACTGTACCTGTAGTGTATTAAAATGACCGAAAAAATTTTCTTAGTGCAATTTTTTGCTTTTTGAATGAAAAAACTGATTCTTCATACTTTTCAACACAAAAAAGCTCTCTTGTGAATTTTCGTTATAGTTAGCCGTTTTTGAGATATTTAGATTTTTAAGGTTCGATGCATTCTTAATTACTTATGATAAAATAACGTTAAAAAGTCAGTATCTCGATAATTTTTAGAAGTAGGCTGTGCCTGCAAATATTTTTGAAATTGAAAGCAGAATAAGGTTAAACGTCAATTAGTTGACAGTTAGTTTTGTTGTCTGTTGAAACCTGAAACGTATTTTTGCAATTGTGAATGCACAAAATTTAGTTTCTTTTACCTGTAAGTTTTATAAAAATGCCATTAAAAAAACTATTTTAGAAAGTAAACTTAAACACCCCGTATTTCGGAAGCCACGCATTTTTCGACCCATGTTTATATAGACCTTATGCATTAATTTTAAAAGTTCTATCGAATCTTAAAGTTATGCAACAATAAACTGAAACACCCTGTATATTCAGAGTCTAACTGTGGATATGACACCTGTTGACAACAATAAAGCTTGCGTTACGTCAGTAGATTTAAGTTCTGGTGAATCTGACGATGATGCTCCGCTTAGCACTTTATTTAAGATATCCGAAAAACGCAAGAAACCTAATGAGTCTGTTTGGGATATATTTTCGAATATTGCACATAGCCGCGACAGTATTGCAGGAACTTCCAAAAATTCAGAAACTGTGGAAACTTCATGCCGTCTTTCATAGTGGCAAATTAATCATAGGAGTGTAAATTCGTTTTCTGTTTTCTTTTTGTACAATTTAACTTTTTTAAATAATGTAGTTTTTATTTAATACCTATATTATTTAATATATTATGTATTAAATTGCTTCTTACAGGCTCTTTGGCCTCTATTTTTGTAACAATATTTTTTTTTATTTATTCAGTCTACCACGCCGGGTATCCCTAATGAAAATATAATTTATATTCCGGGGAGCATCAACAAAAAAAAGGAGATCTACAGGAGAATAAAGGAATTTGGACCCTAAGACTGACGTATCGCATTCCCTAGGTCGTCTTGAGTTTCGCCGTTGAAGTATATTGGATCCGATGCGGCGTAGCTTTAATAACGTCTAAGCCTACCACGGCCCAAATGCGGGAGCGTAGGCGAGAATGGAACATGGTATCCTCTCGCCAGAATTGATGAGCTACAAGCAATCGGAAATGAACTGTTGAAGATGGAAATTATTCTCTATGTATGATTATCAGATCCTGATACCGTCGCTCCGAACAGATGGTTGATCAGAGATCATCAGTCTTCCCTTACATTCATCAAAGTCACATTGTCCCTCAGTGGCGTGTATAAGGGGTAGGGGTTCATTAAATCAAGAAGCTTGGTATTTTCATAATACTTGAAACGTTGATGCTTGATTTTTTGTTGTTCTACTTGACCTGTTCTTTGTATCGTTTTTTCAGTTTTTCTTTTTTTCTTTTGGGGTTAAATGTCAGAGTAGCACTATGCTAAACTTCGCCCCTAAATGATGACGATTTATTATTTTTTTTCAATATCTTTTCAAAGCTCTGATCGGTGCACATGAAAATTAAGACTAAAGTTTTGTGTACGCTGTCTTAGTGGCGATTGTAGGTTTAAATATCTTTAGACGTTATAATAATACGTATAACTTGTGAACTGCCAAAGCAGGTACCGTTAGGATTTTATATTTTCTTAAAAATCCCTTCAGAACTGTGGGTGTTACCCTGGACTCCAGAAGACCTTAGTACATTATATGCTGACCATATATACTACAGTATATTCAGATAAGAGATAGACCGGACATAAACAAGACCACGTGATCATCGAACGCTGTAACATTCGGCAGGGACGTATTAAGAGTCACGCAGTACATATTTTAGATAGTAGATGCTGCTTTGCGTAACTTTGTAGTAAATTAGCACAATTCGATGTGTATACGATTGGTGATGGATATAGGATCATGTGGGGGTGGGGTAAGAAATATATAATGATGTAAATATACATAAGGGTTTCAAAATTTTCGCTTCGATTTCCAGCTTCGGATGCCGCCTGATGTTTGGTGAAATACAGTCGAATATAATCTCAAAATGGCGTTTAAATTAGCCTAAATTAAAAATAATCGTATATCTCTTAAAATTGCTTTTAGAATATTGATTAGTATATTTTTTGGTTTCTAGGTAAATATGTAATCAAATTAAAACGTTCAAAACGTAAAAAAATGTGCATGGTTGAACATTGTCAGAAAGTAGATTCTTGAATTGGTTTTGCCAAAATGGGTTCAAAAATGTCAATAATTAATTCAAAAATACAGTAGCTTTATAATTACTTATAACTTACCGAATTTGATGAACGACATCTTTTATTGGAAATATGAGCTTGATGACCTTTCATCATCGCTACTGCCTGAAGCACCAACGTCAATAATGAATGGCTCGACTTGTTCCTGTAAAATATTGTCCAGTTCCCACATTCTCTTTTCAACTTTGTCTTTCACGTGCTTAATACAGTTTTCCCATTTTTGCGCTGATATTAATTCTAGTGCTTCTTTGAAAAGTCCTTTGAGGTCACAAAATTTAAAAGTTGTATTGTGCTTAGCTATATAATTTTCAACCTCTGCCCATATGAGCTCAATGGGATTGAGCTCGCAATGGTATGGAGGTAAACGGAGCACAGTTTTATTTTGACTTGCTGCCATTTCTTCAATGGCGTATTTTTGATATTCCGCCTTGTGATCCTTGACAATTCTTAATAATTGTACTTTCAGCATTGCTTCTTCAAAGTTGACATTTTTCGAGCGGAGCCAATTTTGAACATCAACTTTCCTTGAAGCCGTTGTTGGGACCTTCTCCATTCTTCGAGAATGATAAGGCGCATTATCCAACACAATTACTGCGTTTTCCTCTAAGTTCGGTAAAATTTTTGAAAACCACTGTTCAAACGATTCGCCATTCATTTCCTCCTGGTAATCTCCAGTTTACTTAGACTCAAAGCACCACAGACCGTCAACAACAAATCCATCCTCACTGCCAATATGGCAGATAATGAGCCTTTTCCCTTTACCTGGAAATCGAAGTACTAACTGGTGTAGATTTATTTCAATAAGCGAACCTTTTTCAAATGTTTTCATCACATTCAGCGAAAAAACATTGAGACATGAGTATCAGATTGCTATAATTGGGATTATTTATTCATATTGAAAGAAAGAATATTGAACGTCGTATGATTACTCAGCGCTTCACAATTTAATTTAAAGTTATAAACCTTTAAAAAATGAATGATCAGGAACCTGAAATACGCGCAAATATTAATATTAACAAATTATAACTTTATAAAGCTTAAAGTATGAATTAAAATGATTAGAAATATTAGGAACGGTACACAATATAAAACTTAGTAACTTTTTTTAAGTTTATAATATTCGACATATTTTAAGATTACATTAAAAAGTTATTGAAATATCGAAAACACATAAAAACATGGCTTAAAAAAGTTCTAACAAATGAAAATGACAATAAAACATCCACGCATTTTATCGAAAGTTATAAAAGTTTTGTTACTTGTAACATGTTTTATCTGCCCCCTGGAATTAATGTTTAGAACCTTGTTCCCAAGGTTTGAAAAACATCCGATTGTTGTCTATTACTCGTATTTACCTGCTGGATTTTTTAATCCGGTGGACAGTCCATCTAGAAAGGCCCTCCTGGATGAAGTTACAGAATCATCAACCCATACTTTACTTGTAGTATGTCCTGCGTTTACCCACGTTTCATCAAGGTAATAAATCTTCCTGTTTTGATTTCCATATTTCCCAATTTTTGTTAAATAATCCCTCCTCCATAGCACAATTTCTTCTCTATCCAGTAGTAAACTATTACGACCCCGTTTTTTCCATTTGAAATTTAAATGCTTCAGTAACGCATGGAAAGTTGATCGTTTGAAATTTGGCAACGTTGTATCTCCATTTACCTCCTGCAGTACTTTATCTATAGTAGGTATTTCATTCCTAAAGAAGAATTCATGCACTTTCCTCCTAATCGCATGCTTATCAGCTTCATCCAATGATTTAACAATACTTTTGCGATGTTTACTGGTCATTGGCTCAGAAAAGGTGTGATTTTTTTTGTATTGTCTTAACACATTAAACACTGATGCGCGACACACCCCAACTTTGTGAGAAACCTTCACAACAATTTCTTTGATGGTTGATGCCTCGTTCTCCTCGCGCTCGATCTTATATATATTCAAAATGACCTCTTTCATTTCTGCACTCAGGTGTCTTTTTTTAGAGCGTTTCCTAGGTGGACTACAGGAGTTTACAACTTCATCGGCAGTATCTGTACTACTGGGCATTTTGCGCAAGCAGTTGATAACAATAACAATCAATAACAAGGTATAACAATAACAACGACAAACTCAACAACTTAATAAGATAACAAACGAAAACGTCCAAAGAAATATCAAATTGCAATGATGCACACGACATACGTAACACGTCTGTACCTGAATGTGACTCTGCCTTGATAGGACTGCTCTGCCGCGAATTGACCAATGAGGGCTCCTGTTTTACGTCGAGACGGCGGCGTTAGCGTGAAAATCACCCGAACCTTTTGTTTACATCCGGTCTTTCTCTTATCTGAATA